CGGTGTTGATTCGACAGTGATGAAATGTTCCATCCCGTGGCATCAATACTCCATTTTTGGCCTGATTTCACTCTTGTAAAAATAGAGGATAGCAGGAGTCAGTTACTTACTGCAGCGGTCCAGAGAACCGACCATTTTTCCAGCATCTTTAACGATGGACCATAGGTACATGAGTTCCATTTGATATACCGGTTGAGTTTAAGTCCATATAGGCACTAAAGACAAGGGATCACAGCGATAATTAATTGCTCGAAAAATGCATGTTTCTTTGCATCTTTTGCATCCCCGTTATGAAACTACATATTGTGGGGTGCTTCTTCCATAAGCCTGTCTTCTATTTGCTGCTTCGTCAGGGTTATTTATTCGATCTTGAAAATGAAACATCAGTCAGTCAAATAGGCTGTTGTAACTAATAAATCACTAAGACAAACAGTCAAACTTTCAAAATCTCTCCGACTCAAAGCTAGGATAGCCAACACCGGTCTGAAGCTATGAATTCGGCTCCAGCATTGAGTTGTGCTCGCGCTGAGTACGCTGGTCGTGAGTTGTCCTTGAGTTGTCACGGAGATGAGATAGCCGGTGTTGAGTCGGCGGTGATGAAATGTCCACTCTCGATTCAAGATATTGCGACTATTATTTTGTCCATTATATGTAAAAACAAAATGTTAAATATGACACTGGGGGGTATTTTTTTCTTGTTTCATCCACTGTTTCCACATGCCGTAGATTAACGGTCTGAACTGAAATTATTACGAAAGAAATACCAGTAAACAAAAAATCAGTATTGTTTGACAGTGCTTCATCGAATAAATTCATATACTGTTATATCTAATACTACTACTACTTTTATATGGCACATCCATTTCATGGTGTTGGCGATCATGACGCTCCAAAATTCCGTGTCCCTTTTACCTTCTTACTATATCTCCTAATCACTTCTTTGCGAATCATTTATATAAGCTCGTTGGGTAGGTTATAGTGCAATAAAAAAGCGAAATAACATAAAATACAACTAATAGATAACGTGATCATATTTAAACGGAACGCTGATCTTATATAAAAATTTCAGTTATCTGTTTGGATTAGTTGTGCTCTTATGTCCATCGTCTTTTGTGTTAATTTTTTTATATGTTCTAATGTTAATTATGTTTAAATGAAAATGTCCATGAAGATGGTCTTAAATAGACCGAAACGTCCGACGTCGACTTTATATTAACATTAATACAGCATAATTACATATTAAGATTTTTGTTTGTTTTTTCTGTATTTTTCTTCATAGCTTTTAGTGTAATTAAAAGTAACAGAAACAAATAAAAGTTATTCTACTTCTATAGTCCTTGTCTCTTCAGGACGTAAGTAATCATGGCTATCCACAATTTCCTCTCTTTTGTTGCTCTTAGCAATGTTTGTCTTTTTGATATTCCGCCCTGTTCTACAAATCATTCGCTTGTTAGGTTATTCGTTGCTTACTTTCAGTATGACCTGTGAGTTATAAATTTTCCAGGCCCTCTTTCCTCATTATGTTTTTTTTTTTTTTTAGAAATCTCAACTGTCCCTTTATGATTCTAAGTATAAACGTTCCTTCTGTTCCCATGGAGGAAGAAGGCTTGATGAGTCAACGGTCAGGTAACTAAAGATGGTGTCTCAATAAAATCACTGTCGAGAAGGCAACGAGAAACCACTCCACTATCAATCCGAATATCATTCATGGCTATCAACAATTTTATGAAAGAAATATTTGTCAAAATTGAATATTAATGCTCTCTCTAAAAATTAAAATATTACATTTAATATTACTAGTGTAATAAAAAGCAAGAGAAATATGATGAGAGAAATACTAGTCGAGGACTGCCATTGTTTCGTTTGAAAAAAATAAAATGCTATTGTATCTAATACTACTAGATACAAATATTAGATATCAGTTAAAAAATCAAGAGAAGTAAATGAAAGATAAGTGAGTCAAAAGTTAATAATAATTGACAATGTTTCATCGAAAACATCTCGTCTAAAAAAAATTCACAGAAGAAATTAAATTCTATGCGAATTGCGGTGAACGTTGGGGTGGTATAGAATGCGATTTGCATGATTTGAGAAGGTGTCTTGAAAAATATTAGAAAAACAAAGACACCTGAATAGCAATTGAAATTCGATGCAATGTCTGAAATATATGAGTCTTTATTTGAGAGAAAAAAAGAAGTTTTCATTTTCAAGCATGTCAATTAATTCTGAAAGTGGCTTCGGAGTGGAATCGACATGAACATCCGTATACGACTCTGATGATATTGATCATGATGCTGCTGATGATGATAATGATGACGCTGATGATGATGATAATGATGCCGATGATGATACGGCTGCTGCCGATGATAATGATGATAATGACGCTGCTGATGATGCTGATGCTATTGATGTTGATACTGCTGCTGATGATGATGATAATGATGATGATGATGAGAAATTAAGAACAATCGCCAAATCGTTTTGTTCATTTCTGCCTGTTTTTTTATTTCTACTTCTCTTTTTTCTTTTCTCATTTTCTCTTTTTGTCCTTTTCTTCTTTTTTTTTTTACTTTCTTTTTCATTCGTTTTGTTTCTTTTCTTTCATTTACGCTTTAAATATATCTGGACACCGTTGAGGTTTCTAGGTCTCTTTCTCTTTTCTTTATCTCTCTCCCCCCCTCTCTCTCTCTCTCTCTCTCTCTCTCTCTATATATATATATATATATATATATATATATATATATATGGCTGTCCATCTTATTTTGATACTTATTTATCCAATCCCTCCTAATTTGTTCATATCTATCTATCTATTTCTGTATGTCTATCTATCTCACTCCCCCCTCTCTCTCTCTCGCTCTCTCTCTCTCTCTCTCTCTCTCTCTATATATATATATATATATATATATATATATATATCTGGCTGTCTATCTTATTTTGATACTTTGATACTTATTTATCCAATCCCTCCTAACTTGTTCATATCTATCTATCTATTTCTGTATGTCTATCTATCTCATCTCCTCTCTCTCTCTCTCTCTATATATATATATATATATATATATATATATATATATATATATATATTTTGGCTGTCTATCTTATTTGATACTTATTTATCCAATCCTCCTAATTTGTTCATATATCTATCTATCTATTTCTGTATGTCTATCCTAATATCTCATCTATTCATCCCCCTCTCTCACTCCCTCTCTCTCTCTCTCTCTCTCTCTCTATATATATATATATATATATATATATATATCTATATGTATATATCTTATTTTGATACTTTGATACTTATTTATCCAATCCTCCTAATTTGTTCATATTATCTATCTATCTCTGTATGTATGTCTATCTATCTCTCTCTCTCTCTCTCTCTCTATATATATATATATATATATATATATATATATATATATATATTGCTACGAATTCGAAACGTACAAAGGTATGAACTCCAGGTTAACCAAAAAAGAAAACAGTTAGGTTCACTAAGATAGAACACACAAACAGGTGCCGACGAACAACAGACACAAGATTAGTATTTGTAAGTAAATTTTATATAACAAAATACAAAATATGGGAAAAGTATGGTGTGCCAGATGTACACTTAATAAAAGAACACTTAACTGATACTGAATGTCAGTTCAAACGATTATGTTTCAGGAATTTGGAGTTCGAAGCTTTCTAAAGACAGGCAAAGTTGCTGTAGAATGGTCACAAAAGTCCGTTATTGTTTTCTAATTCTTCCTCAATATAAAATATAGAATTCCGCAATAATGTTTCTATTCTGTTTCCCCTTGTTTAATTGGATTGTATCCGGGATGAAAGTACAATGATTCCTTTGTATTTCTTTGGGTATGATCTTCTTTTACACTTTACACATTAAATAGCCAAATAGACTTGAGATCTCCGGGTTGAAATTTGCTTATTCCGTACACAGGTAAAAGAATAGGCTTGTGGGTGTATTTCCCATCCTTTGCGATTGCATGATCAGAGTCTGTTTTTCTCGTCGGAGGTCATCGAGAAACTCAAGTTACAATACAAAATCCCACTTGGTGATGTATGTCACGTGGGCGTAGCTGACTGACCGATTCTTATTACCTTTCATAGAAGGTCATCCTGTTTGTTGTCAAGTGATCGTAAATTCCTTTCTTGACCTTTCTTCGCCGTAACGAGACTCAGTCCAGAAAGGTAGTAACACCCCCCCACACACACACACAAAAAGGGAAGGAGGAGAAGTAAAAACACAAAAACAGAGCGTCTTTTATCAAACAGTTTAATCTGATTTAACAGTAATATTGAGGGCCATGTCACAATATATATATATATATATGTGTGTGTGTGTGTGTGTGTGTGTGTGTGTGTGTATGTGTTTGTGTGTGTGTGTGTGTCGATGATGCGGTAATATATGGGAGCTCTATAGCCAGATACTGGCGATTGATCTCTCTTCTACCCAAATGAGGCTAGCTGGTTACTGTGGCACCATTTACGAGGCAGAGAAAGAAAGAGAAAGAAAGGAAGGCAGAAAGAAAGGCGAGACGAATCGTAGGTGATAAAACAGCCACACACATGGCCTAAGAGACAATGAAAATATTGATAAGTAACAAGTGAAAAAGTGTGTCATTACAATGACAGGGAATTTCTGAGTAAAAAAAGAAAAGGAAAAGAAAGAAGGAACCAGATGTGTTTTAATAACGGCTGTGTTATCTAGGTGCGTACACGAATGGCTGGACCACTGCCCAGGAAAAATTCAAGTGAAAATGCTATTTCGATAAGTGACGAGAAACAGGACACTAAAAAGGACTTTGGACAGATATGAAAATTAAATGCCACCCAGGCAGTGCAGCTGACTGAATTCTTTTCGACGAAACAACGTTGCCCTGCGATAATAAAATCATGTTATCAGACATATGTACCGAAGGAAAATGAATGGGAATCAGAAGTGTTTTTATTTCTTCCTTGGAGGCGACAGACTGACTGAAAATTTTGGCTTAGATAGATAGATAGATAGATAGATAGATAGATAGATAGATATAAAATGATATACAGCCATATAAACTTAGATAAGGAACAGACTTAGATAGATAGATAGATAGATAGATAGATATAAAATGATATACAGCCATATAAACTTAGAAAACGAACAGACAGATAGATAGATAGATAGATAGATAGATAGATAGATAGATAGATAGATAGATATAAAATGATATACAGCCATATAAACTTAGATAAGGAACAGACTTAGATAGATAGATAGATAGATAGATAGATAGATAGATATAAAATGATATACAGCCATATAGACTTAGAAAACGAACAGACAGATAGATAGATAGATAGACAGATAGATAGATAGATAGATAGATAGATCTAACTGCTCAATGAAGGAAAACCGGCTTGTAACATCCAATACCTCCAAAACCAAGCTGAACTTGCTCCCCTCATGATGAACGATTTTACTCACGATCAGCGTCCTTACTTTGGCCGTCTATTTGAACTCAGGCTGACTGTAGACCTAAAACTGGTGGTAGAAGCTGAAATAACGTAGAGAAGGCAAGTTGTGTATTCTTCGATTTTTTTATTTGACGATAAACAGTGATATTTACAATAACAAATTATTAGTATCAACTATAAAGTTCCCTACAATAACCGAAAGGACGAATACTTTTGACTACGAGAGAAAGATAAGAAAGGCAAAAATACATGATTACGGTTTTATACATTATGATATGGAGATGCTAAAATTCATATTTCTTCCATTATTTATATCTATATCCACATACACACACTTACTATCTCACACACACACATATATATATATGACATTTCAAACAATACACATACACACACACACCTATATATATATATATATATATATATATATATATATATATATATATATATATATATATATTTTGTTTGAATAAAAGACAGACCACGTTAAGATTCCATGTAATAGCTATTTCACCATAACCCCTTTAACAGGGTTCTGGATCATCAGATTTTACTTCCAAAAAGCTGAAATGAAAAATGAAAAGAAATTCACACGTTTTTACGGACCTCATCAAGTATACGCAAAGTTGGCTGGATGTTGCTCAAATTTTTTTATATATATATATATATATATATATATATATATATATATATATATATCTCCAGTATGATGAGAACGGATAGAGTACGGTTCCAACGTTCGTAACATTTAATTCAAAAGAGGGTTCAATACATAGAAAAATATTTATTTTACGATATTAAAATAAAACAGCTTTTTATATTTTTTTATTTTATTTTTATGTATAAAAAAAAAAAAAAATACGGTGGCATTTTGCTTTTGAAATTAAATTAATCGTTCACTCGCCAGTAATTTTTAATCGCTTTAGGAGACGCATTGTTATGCGTTGAAAGACGACTGCTATTGGGTAGTGCTTCTTACATGATTTTTTTGTAATATATATATATATATATATATATATATATATATATATAAAAAAAATATATAAACCTCAAATACTAATATTCCATGGTTATAATTTATTACATTATAATCGTAATCACGATATATATATATTTATATTGACCACTAACATTATATATATATATATATATATATATATATATATATATATATATATATATATATATATAAAGGGTGTAACACCAGAATTGCCCAAATCGTGTAACACAAAAATTGTACACTTGTTATATTAAGCTTTGAACCGTGGTATCTTAGAAAGGATTAAAGATATTATACTGGAATTCTCCGAGATTTTTATGACACTATTGGACTCTACTTTGAACAATAAGAATGTTTTTAGCTCTAATTTGAAATGATGGTCCCTCTTGCTGTTTTGACCTCCTGATCCAGTTTTCCTCTCTACTGTTCCCGCTTTTTGTTAAATCTATTCACCGTTCTCTTGATGAGAAGAGTCTGAATTTTGGTACCATTACTGAAAGCCTCGATGATCTTTTTCGTCTCACAATTACTCAGTTGGGAAGACATATTGCGTCTGACACAAATGATTTAACCTCTTCTCTTTGGAGCTCTCTCTATATAACTAAAAGATTTTCTCAGCGATTCTTAAGACAAATGGCGTCAAGATGTCTAAACGTTTTATCTGAAAACCTGCAGAAATAAAATCGATTGGTTTAGTGATTTTTGTTTTTAGATTTTGTAGAATAGACACTTAGATACTGTATATGATAAAAAATATATTTTTAAGGTTTGCTGTATTCATGGGTAAAATTGCTCAATATCTGAGATGGACTGTATATAGATATAAAAATGTAAACGGGCACACTGAAGTCAACACAGAGCTGCGACGGTTTGTTTCATGCTCCAGACAGGGAGATTGCGTCCAAGCTTTGTCCTTGATCTCTCATCCATTCACACAAACTTGCCGCTCAGACCAGACACCAAGTTCCTTCACAGGATGCAGTTTATCTTGGTGCTATCTTCTCGAAATGACCGTCTGTAGACTCGCAAGGAAGAATGAGTGAAGGGGGTTAAACGGTCTAACCGGCGTACACCTTCTCCTTTGCGTCATGGGCGACCAGTCCACTGCTTAAGACCACTAGGGAGAACCGTCTTAGAGCAGAACAAGTCTTTGTCCTCTCAGCTTTCACCTATAAAAGTTATTCATCAAGTCCGATCCACTCAGCTGACCTCCTTTGTCAGGGTCGTTTGACATGGTACTTGTGAGGTCCTACTTATCCAGCTGACCTTCTTTGTCAAGGCGAAAATTGTCGAAACAATTTCTGTAACATCCTACGGTCGTCCCCTTAAAAGATATCGGCTGACAACTGATATGTTTCCCCTCAGCATATCTTGTCTTCAAGTAGCCAGAATAGGCAGCCGAAATTCGTTGACATAATGAAATTGTGATGCGAATAGCTTAGTATTTATAGATTCTTTCGAAAAACTATCTCTCTGGACTGAGTCTCGTTACGGCGAAGAAAGGTCAAGAAAGGAATTTACGATCACTTGACAACAAACAGGATGACCTTCTATGAAAGGTAATAAGAATCGGTCAGTCAGCTACGCCCACGTGACATACATCACCAAGTGGGATTTTGTATTGTAACTTGAGTTTCTCGATGACCTCCGACGAGAAAAACAGACTCTGATCATGCAATCGCAAAGGATGGGAAATACACCCACAAGCCTATTCTTTTACCTGTGTACGGAATAAGCAAATTTCAACCCGGAGATCTCAAGTCTATTATTCTATCAGATTGGTTACTTAGCCTGGAACCAAAGGTCGACCGCGACAAGATATTGACTTAAATTATTCCTACTTTGTTTTAGATGGACTTCTGTTTATTATCTTCTTTTCCAGTATTATAGGATTTGCTTCAGTGTACCATAAATTGGGGTTGTGGGGTGTTTGTATTATATCATCCTATATCTAAAAGCTTTTTCACACAGAAGAAACGCATCAAGAATCTTACAGCGGTATCGCTATTTCCATGGAAAATGTTCTGATGGGATACATTCCTTAGATCCACAAGTTCAGACCTTTACAGCTAAGCCTAAGAACTTATTTCCAACAGTCCAGACCTTCACAGTTAAGCCCCTCTCTATTCTATCGCTATTTCCATTGCAAATGTCCGAACCAGATACATTATTTAGTTCAACCTGTTCAGACCTTCACAATTAAGCCCCTCTCTATACTATCGCTATTTCCATGTCAAATGTTCAAACCAGCTGCATTCTTTAGTTCTACCTGTTCAGACCTTCACAGTTAAGCCCCTCTCTATACTATCGCTATTTCCATGGCAAATGTTCAAACCACCTACATTCTTTAGTTCTACCTGTTCAGACCTTCACTGTTAAGCCACTCTCTATACTATCGCTATTTCCATGGCAAATTTCCGAAACAGCATCATTCTCTAGTTCTACCTATTCAGACCTTCACAGCTAAGCCCCTCTCTACACTATCACTATTTCCATGGCAAATGTTCAAACCACATACATTCTTTAGTTCTACCTGTTCAGACCTTCACATTTAAGCCCCTCTCTACAATATCGCTATTTCCATGGCAAATGTTCAAACCACCTACATTCTTTAGTTCTACCTGTTCAGACCTTCACAGTTAAGCCCCTCTCTATACTATCGCTATTTCCATGGCAAATGTTCAAACCAGATACATTCTTTAGTTCTACCTATTCAGACCTTCACAGTTAAGCCCCTCTCTACACTATCGCTATTTCCATGGCAAATGTCCGAAACAGCATCATTATTTAGTTCTACCTGTTCAGACCTTCACAGTTAAGCCCCTCTCTACACTATCGCTATTTCCATGGCAAATGTTCAAACCACATACATTCTTTAGTTCTACCTATTCAGACCTTCACAGTTAAGCCCCTCTCTACACTATCGCTATTTCCATGGCAAATGTTCAAACCACCTACATTCTTTAGTTCTACCTGTTCAGACCTTCACAGTTAAGCCCCTCTCTACACTATCGCTATTTCCATGGCAAATGTCCGAAACAGCATCATTCTTTAGTTCTACCTGTTCAGACCTTCACAGTTAAGCCCCTCTCTACTTTATCGCTATTTCCATGGCAAATGTTCAAACCAGTTACATTCTTTATTTCTACCTGTTCAGACCTTCACAGTTAAGCCCCTCGCTATTTCCATGAAAATGTTCTGACGTGCTACATTTCTAAGTTTCACCAATTCACACCTAAGATGCGCCATGTCAAGTCTGTCAGATCGAATCATCCGCATCCCTTCGTTTCCCATTGGTAAGAAGTGAGTTTGCGGAACAAACTCTGACGGGATGCTTCAGCCAATCACTACAATCTTATCCCTTTCGAGTTGACCATTATCTACATGCAATAACCTTATTCAGTAAGCCTCTGCCTTGAGTGGTCCTCGGGCCTTGTACTGACTGAACAGCAGTAAAAAATATGGGTCTGTAAAGGTCGGTTCTGCTTACATATCCTAGATATGTAGTCCTTCTTAATATTGGTTGACTGCTACAGTTAGAACCAGAAGTAGGTTTTGACGAACAAACCCATGTGTTATGAAGATATATTCGTCTTGGGTTTTTACGCGTATAATCAAAATGATGTTAGTTTTGTTCACCTCCCAAAAAGTGGATATGGAATATTAGTTCTTTTCAACAGAACGCGTTCTGCTAATGTTTTTCATGTTTAATACCAGGTTGATGGCCGACGAATCAACTGAAAGTGAAAGTGAAAATGAAAAGAAAAGAAATGCGGATTCAAGTTTGGAATGATTTCCTTTGTCAGCACATGTACCAACAAAATCCTAATGCTGTCTCTTGATTGGCTGATTTTGTCGTAATCTACTTTTCGGCTTTCCTTTCTTTTCTGGAATATGTCTCTAAACAGTTTTTGCCTAGCTTC